CCTCATTAATATTCATAATTCATTAACGAGAGGTATGCATGCCCCCCAAAAGTGTGGAAATTGAAGGTAGCATTATAGCAATACCATTGTGACATTTGCTTGCTGTAACTAATAACAGTGGCTGTGATAGGCACATTTGAAATTTTGTTTAATGAGCGAAAACGTCCTTCCGTTACCGTGGAATTGCCCAAAAGCAGTAAAAAATTCTGAGCTCTCCATAGGTTTGTGCACAAAAATGGACGCACCCAGCAGTGTACATTCTGTACAGTAAGTTAAGTCTCTAGTCATTTTAAGCTACAGTCCATCATTTGCAGCTATCCAAAAAGTAACTGATGTAATTATCGTTGAAAAACATACTTGGTTGGTTGACAGTACTAAATTCTCTCTGAAATTATTCTTTCTGACATGCTGTCATTTTGAAGAAATCAACAAAAGAAGGTCTTCAGACGCATCGTTGGAAATTTCTGTTAGTAGTTCGCTTTTTTATTTGGCGAAGCACGCACAAGCGTTGACACGATGCAAACGTGCGCGCAGTTGCCTTAATTCATCGTATCAGTGCATGACACCGCGTAGCTGCAATCGGCTCAATGAGAATGTGTCTCAATTCAGGCCCAATTCAAAACATGATTCAGCAACATGATTCAGCAACTTTTATTTGAAATCGAGATCCGCAGGCCCGGTTCTGTGTTTTTTTTGTCCCGTTCTGTTCACAAACTCATCTATGTTTCAAGTCACAGACCATACAGGGATGAAACTGGCCTATGGGGAAAAAATCTGAAAATAGGCCGGCCAAAATTCTGTGTCCGAAATCTGGGCTGCGCCGCAAGTACACATACGTACTATATGTACAATAAACTTCGTGTTCAATTTCTGGACATCGCCTCCTTTTTTTCTTTTACATGTACATGTAGATCCAAATGAAATTTTACGATGTGAAAAATGTTCAGTGTTTCCATAAGATTAAAAAGCCCGAATTAGGGTTGGAGTTTCTGACTCGTAATTAAAGAAATTCACATCTTACTTGAGACACGGAGAAAGTCAAGGAAAAAGTCCAAGACAACAAGTCCACTAACGCATGGTAGGTGGAACTGGAAAAAGTTTGGCATTAGGCCTGCCGTCTTTTTCGTACAACAACTGCCGGTGAAATTTGTCTTCTATGCTCTCCTCGCCTTCCTCAAGATTTTGCATGGAAGAGATCGTCAGACTAAAACCACCACGTTGCAATCATTCAGTATCATTTGTACAACACTGAATAAAGTAGATCTGCCAAAGTCCAAAATGCTCCTTATGTGCGATTACCCCAATAGTTTGATTGCAGCTTTTGAGGGGGCCATTCAGTTGTGACTTTGTAACAAGATTCTTTTGTTTTGCTAACTTTTGAAAAAAAAATGATTTCTGAATGGAAAAGTTAGTTCTTTTTTTAAAGCAATTCAAACGAATTTGCTTGAAAATGATCATTATTGTATTGTATTTAACTTGAAATGATTTCTTTGTGCAGGAAGCTTCTCTATAATGCCCACCTCAATTTCCAAGTTCTGTGTTTGTCTCTCTTCCAGTGCATGATCTGAGATGACTAAGACGTCATCTTTGGAGACATCTAGTTGTTCCTTACATCGATCCAGCTCCTGTAGTAGACGGTCCTTCTCTGCCATCCAGACTCGCTCCTGAGATCGTCCTTCATACTTCAGCTCTAGATAGTCCTTAGTGCTGTCATACAACATCTGCTGTGTACGATGTAACCTATTAACAGAAGAATGTCCATGACAAGTGATGTATGATGGTTGAACAAGGTAGCTGAATAAAGGATACACATTCTACTTTTGTTTAAAGAACGGTAAGTGTCTTATTAGTCATTCATAAGATTTCATTTCATTTTGCGTCGGGGTGATGTAAATCAAATTAGGTTTTGCCCTTCACCGACATATAAACACTGTATACTCTCTGTGTTACCTCCCGAGTGAAAGTTGAAAAAAATCACTCCGGTCAAACCCATGACCCTCCTGCTTTCTAGTGCAGATGTCTTACCACTTGACCACCGAGCTAACGGGATCAGTTGGCTGGTTCGAATCTGATGTACATAGCAGCGGGTACTACATTAACTATTCATAAGATGGTAAGACATCTGCAATAGAAAGCAGGAGGTCGTGGGTTCGAGTCCCACCGGAGTGATTTTTTTCCAACTTTCACTCGGGAGGAAACACACTGAGAATACAGTGTTTATACATCGGTGATGGACAAAACCTAATTTGGTTTTATTAGTCAATTGACTCATGTAATTTCAGCAAGCACACACTGCATATGCCTCCATGTTATTTTGGCAAGATGTGTTGCCAATATACTAGTGTGGAAAGACTGTGGTTTCTAAAATAACTAAGATCAAAGTGCTTTACATTATTATTACCCCTGATCATTGGGCCAATGAAACATTGCAAATACAATCTCAGCTTCCTGTGGAATATGGATTTTTATTCACGAGAAAGTCATTTTAGTCATGTTCCCTGACAGTATTTTATAAACTATTGAATAGGATGGTGCCAGACTATTTTTGCATTCTAGCCTCACTTTCAATTTTTATTTTAAATGTGGCTTAAAAACATTAGGGTATGTTTAACAACAAATTTAAATTTTCATTAAAGCAGACTGGTATTAATTTGTAATTAATTTTATGTCACTGCTTTAATTTCTCTTTGCAAGTTCCAAATATGAAGATTTTACCTCGCTTTCAATTTAATATAGTCGACTCCTGAATAAAGCCCATACAGCTCGGTGTAGTCATTTCGACGCAAGGTAGCTAAAATCAATCACAATTGCGATCTCTGTTCTCACAGGTACCCATTTACTCCTGGGTGGGGCGAAGCAATGAGTGACAAAGTGTCTTGCCAAAGGGAACATGCACCATAACCCCAGGCTGGACTCGAACCCACAACCTGTAGAATTACCCGCAGACAACGAGTTCAATGCTCCAGACCATGAGGCCAGGGCACTCCACATATTTAGAAATGTTTTGCCAATTCATGCAACAACACAAACACCAGGTAATATAATCTATTTGAAACCCCTGCCCGTTGTCCAAACTGCACACATGTGCATTTATCTTTATTGGTACCTTCAAGGATGTAACTGGGGTCCAAGTTGCTGGAGGGCCCTAAAGGGACCTCAGTTTCTAGTAGGAGGCAGTCTTTGAGCAGAGGGGTCCATGCCCCTCATCCTCCTCCCCTATCATTAGCTATGCCACTGGGCACCTTTGTCAAGTTCATTTAAGATTATAAGGAATCAATGAAGGGAGTTCCTACTTTTCATTGAGGGAGTGAATCTTGGAGCGATCTCTCTCAATCACAGTCTGCATCTCTTCCATCCTGACCCTACGATCCTCCAGCAAGGCTTCCGTCCGCTCTCTAGATAGCTCAGCTTGTTCCTTCATCTGAGATTGTAGAGCTTCAATCTGTAGCAACAGACTCTCTGGCTCTGCCTGCTGCTGGTCTGAATCAGGATGGACAGCTTTGGGCTGGGCGCTGTTGGACTGAAATGAGGATTGGAAAATATTGATGGATGGTAACAGGATCAACCTGCTGGTACAGACTCGGACAAAAGAAACCACCATTTTGGAGATGATCTGATCAATTATCGTGATTGAAGCAACTTTACTGGGATAACGTATGTAACTAATCTTGGAAAGTTCATGGTATGATGAGGCGGCTTTTTTGCCAAACTCACTTCTCAGGGGAGTAACTACAGGTAATTTCATCAGCTGATCAAGGAATTATCAACACACCTACCAAAAGCTGCAACAGATATATATATTTACTATTAATACTATGAAAGTAAGTAAAGTCTGTCATTAGCCAATACATCTCCGGTTTCAAAGGCATGAAACGACCGAGGATATTTTTTTATCCCCCCTGGATAGGATGCCAGTCCATTGCAGGTTACTTCCCAGCTAATATCGGTACCCATTTATACTCCTGGGTGGAGAGAGGCAAGTGGGGGTGAAGTGGCTTGCCCAAGGACACACATATAACCGGCAACTAGATTCGGACCCCTGACCCTCTGATCATGAGTCACAAACCTTAACCATATTAATGCTTAAAAAAAACTTAAAATCCCATAGACCTTATAAATAGTTAATGCGATGCCCGCTGCCATGTACCAATACATCAGATTCGAGCCAGCCAACCGATCCCATTAGCTCAGTGGTCAACCGGTACATGGCAGCGGGCATCGCATTAACTATTTATAAGGTCTATGGGATTTTAATTTTTTTTTAAGCATTAATATGGTTAAGGTTTGTGACTCATGATCAGAGGGTCAGGGGTCCGAATCTAGTTGCCGGTTATATGTGTGTCCTTGGGCAAGCCACTTCACCCCCACTTGCCTCTCTCCACCCAGGAGTATAAATAGGTACCGATATTAGCTGGGAAGTAACCTGCAATGGACTGGCATCCTATCCAGGGGGGATAAAAAAATATCCTCGGTCGTTTCATGCCTTTGAAACCGGAGATGTATTGGCTAATGACAGACTTTACTTACTTTCATAGTATTAATAGTAAATATATATATCTGTTGCAGCTTTTGGTAGGTGTGTTGATAATTCCTTGATCAGCTGATGAAATTACCTGTAGTTACTCCCCTGAGAAGTGAGTTTGGCAAAAAAGCCGCCTCATCATACCATGAACTTTCCAAGATTAGTTACATACGTTATCCCAGTAAAGTTGCTTCAATCACGATAATTGATCAGATCATCTCCAAAATGGTGGTTTCTTTTGTCCGAGTCTGTACCAGCAGGTTGATCCTGTTACCATCCATCAATATTTTCCAATCCTCATTTCAGTCCAACAGCGCCCAGCCCAAAGCTGTCCATCCTGATTCAGACCAGCAGCAGGCAGAGCCAGAGAGTCTGTTGCTACAGATTGAAGCTCTACAATCTCAGATGAAGGAACAAGCTGAGCTATCTAGAGAGCGGACGGAAGCCTTGCTGGAGGATCGTAGGGTCAGGATGGAAGAGATGCAGACTGTGATTGAGAGAGATCGCTCCAAGATTCACTCCCTCAATGAAAAGTAGGAACTCCCTTCATTGATTCCTTATAATCTTAAATGAACTTGACAAAGGTGCCCAGTGGCATAGCTAATGATAGGGGAGGAGGATGAGGGGCACGGACCCCTCTGCTCAAAGACTGCCTCCTACTAGAAACTGAGGTCCCTTTAGGGCCCTCCAGCAACTTGGACCCCAGTTACATCCTTGAAGGTACCAATAAAGATAAATGCACATGTGTGCAGTTTGGACAACGGGCAGGGGTTTCAAATAGATTATATTACCTGGTGTTTGTGTTGTTGCATGAATTGGCAAAACATTTCTAAATATGTGGAGTGCCCTGGTCTCATGGTCTGGAGCATTGAACTCGTTGTCTGCGGGTAATTCTACAGGTTGTGGGTTCGAGTCCAGCCTGGGGATATGGTGCATGTTCCCTTTGGCAAGACACTTTGTCACTCATTGCTTCGCCCCACCCAGGAGTAAATGGGTACCTGTGAGAACAGAGATCGCAATTGTGATTGATTTTAGCTACCTTGCGTCGAAATGACTACACCGAGCTGTATGGGCTTTATTCAGGAGTCGACTATATTAAATTGAAAGCGAGGTAAAATCTTCATATTTGGAACTTGCAAAGAGAAATTAAAGCAGTGACATAAAATTAATTACAAATTAATACCAGTCTGCTTTAATGAAAATTTAAATTTGTTGTTAAACATACCCTAATGTTTTTAAGCCACATTTAAAATAAAAATTGAAAGTGAGGCTAGAATGCAAAAATAGTCTGGCACCATCCTATTCAATAGTTTATAAAATACTGTCAGGGAACATGACTAAAATGACTTTCTCGTGAATAAAAATCCATATTCCACAGGAAGCTGAGATTGTATTTGCAATGTTTCATTGGCCCAATGATCAGGGGTAATAATAATGTAAAGCACTTTGATCTTAGTTATTTTAGAAACCACAGTCTTTCCACACTAGTATATTGGCAACACATCTTGCCAAAATAACATGGAGGCATATGCAGTGTGTGCTTGCTGAAATTACATGAGTCAATTGACTAATAAAACCAAATTAGGTTTTGTCCATCACCGATGTATAAACACTGTATTCTCAGTGTGTTTCCTCCCGAGTGAAAGTTGGAAAAAAATCACTCCGGTGGGACTCGAACCCACGACCTCCTGCTTTCTATTGCAGATGTCTTACCATCTTATGAATAGTTAATGTAGTACCCGCTGCTATGTACATCAGATTCGAACCAGCCAACTGATCCCGTTAGCTCGGTGGTCAAGTGGTAAGACATCTGCACTAGAAAGCAGGAGGGTCATGGGTTTGACCGGAGTGATTTTTTTCAACTTTCACTCGGGAGGTAACACAGAGAGTATACAGTGTTTATATGTCGGTGAAGGGCAAAACCTAATTTGATTTACATCACCCCGACGCAAAATGAAATGAAATCTTATGAATGACTAATAAGACACTTACCGTTCTTTAAACAAAAGTAGAATGTGTATCCTTTATTCAGCTACCTTGTTCAACCATCATACATCACTTGTCATGGACATTCTTCTGTTAATAGGTTACATCGTACACAGCAGATGTTGTATGACAGCACTAAGGACTATCTAGAGCTGAAGTATGAAGGACGATCTCAGGAGCGAGTCTGGATGGCAGTGAAGGACCGTCTACTACAGGAGCTGGATCGATGTAAGGAACAACTAGATGTCTCCAAAGATGACGTCTTAGTCATCTCAGATCATGCACTGGAAGAGAGACAAACACAGAACTTGGAAATTGAGGTGGGCATTATAGAGAAGCTTCCTGCACAAAGAAATCATTTCAAGTTAAATACAATACAATAATGATCATTTTCAAGCAAATTCGTTTGAATTGCTTTAAAAAAAGAACTAACTTTTCCATTCAGAAATCATTTTTTTTTCAAAAGTTAGCAAAACAAAAGAATCTTGTTACAAAGTCACAACTGAATGGCCCCCTCAAAAGCTGCAATCAAACTATTGGGGTAATCGCACATAAGGAGCATTTTGGACTTTGGCAGATCTACTTTATTCAGTGTTGTACAAATGATACTGAATGATTGCAACGTGGTGGTTTTAGTCTGACGATCTCTTCCATGCAAAATCTTGAGGAAGGCGAGGAGAGCATAGAAGACAAATTTCACCGGCAGTTGTTGTACGAAAAAGACGGCAGGCCTAATGCCAAACTTTTTCCAGTTCCACCTACCATGCGTTAGTGGACTTGTTGTCTTGGACTTTTTCCTTGACTTTCTCCGTGTCTCAAGTAAGATGTGAATTTCTTTAATTACGAGTCAGAAACTCCAACCCTAATTCGGGCTTTTTAATCTTATGGAAACACTGAACATTTTTCACATCGTAAAATTTCATTTGGATCTACATGTACATGTAAAAGAAAAAAAGGAGGCGATGTCCAGAAATTGAACACGAAGTTTATTGTACATATAGTACGTATGTGTACTTGCGGCGCAGCCCAGATTTCGGACACAGAATTTTGGCCGGCCTATTTTCAGATTTTTTCCCCATAGGCCAGTTTCATCCCTGTATGGTCTGTGACTTGAAACATAGATGAGTTTGTGAACAGAACGGGACAAAAAAAACACAGAACCGGGCCTGCGGATCTCGATTTCAAATAAAAGTTGCTGAATCATGTTGCTGAATCATGTTTTGAATTGGGCCTGAATTGAGACACATTCTCATTGAGCCGATTGCAGCTACGCGGTGTCATGCACTGATACGATGAATTAAGGCAACTGCGCGCACGTTTGCATCGTGTCAACGCTTGTGCGTGCTTCGCCAAATAAAAAAGCGAACTACTAACAGAAATTTCCAACGATGCGTCTGAAGACCTTCTTTTGTTGATTTCTTCAAAACGACAGCATGTCAGAAAGAATAATTTCAGAGAGAATTTAGTACTGTCAACCAACCAAGTATGTTTTTCAACGATAATTACATCAGTTACTTTTTGGATAGCTGCAAATGATGGACTGTAGCTTAAAATGACTAGAGACTTAACTTACTGTACAGAATGTACACTGCTGGTGCGTCCATTTTTGTGCACAAACCTATGGAGAGCTCAGAATTTTTACTGCTTTTGGCAATTCCACGGTAACGGAAGGACGTTTTCGCTCATTAAACAAAATTTCAAATGTGCCTATCACAGCCACTGTTATTAGTTACAGCAAGCAAATGTCACAATGGTATTGCTATAATGCTACCTTCAATTTCCACACTTTTGGGGGCATGCATACCTCTCGTTAATGAATTATGAATATTAATGAGGTCGGTAACGGAAGGACGGTAAAACGGACGAGGGTTTTCCAACTTACACGCGTTTTGCATAAACTCTGTGAATTTTATGGGGCAATTATATTTCAAAGGTAGGAAATGGAATCCCTGCGGCTTTATCTATACTATACCACCTTTCATTTGACTTTAAGTGTTTCGGTGATATAATTACAATGTCTTAAGTGGATTATAATTTGGTAGCGGAAGGACGGTAACGGAAGGACAAAAGGTTTACTCAATTATAGCATGAATAAAATGTGAATTTACACTAATTATACAAGTGAAATAAATTGCTGAAATGTGTAACTGAATGTGAAATCAACCATATGCAGACCTGGCATAAATAATTATACCAAGAAACTATTGAGATAAAGATAGAAGCCTGCTAATTAATGATAACAAATGAAAAATGAAAACAACCAAAAACACATAATTCACGAACACAAGACAACTACAGAAATGGACTTCAAACCCATCACCTTAATCCTTAAAAGTTTTAAATACACAGTATTTGAGCACTTGAGTATATTGGTTACATGTTCACCAATAACTTTTAATAATAACACCAGTAGGTTCAGTGGTTTACCTAAAGGGTGGGGGGGGGCAGGGGCGACCAGCTTACATGTACATTAAAAAACATCTACAGGTAGAACTGATGGCTTCAGAATCATTGTGCTTTAAAAAATGTTTTAGGTGTTGCTTTTAATTGAACTCTAAATTCAGTGTTTGAAATCAAATTTTATGATTTAGAGTATTAACAATAATTATCTTATAAACATCCAGCCTGAGTTGTTAACTTAATTTGTCAAAATTGCACCTCACATGTCTTACACATGTAAATTGTATGAAAGTGCCCAATAGCACTGGTACTTTCTGCCCTCTCATTTTTTACTTAATTTGCTTCTGGAATGGCTTCACAGAAATTGTATCTTTCTCTATTGTCCATGAATGGTGATAGCAGCAACTTAATGATTTGATTTCTGCAACAACTCCCATACATGTGTGAGTAACGGTACATTGTCATACATGTACATTGTACATGTACATGTTATACATATGCCTGTGCCATCCTTTGTAATGAACACTTGCCCTGCTCATACAGCTTGTGAAGGTGGGTCACATGAATGTCCTTTCAATGCGCATTATACATGCATTGTAGTTGCAGTGATTTCATTTTTCAAACATGAGCACAAATGTCGTTACATTTGATAAAAATAACATTTGTCCTTCCGTTACCGTCATTCCGGTACCAATTGGTAACGGAAGGACGGGATTTAATAATTGTAATTAAAAAACGATACGTACAGCAGTGTGTACAGTTATAATGTCATATTGAAGGCACCTACTAAACTTGCTTTGCACAATAACTTCATGGCATTCATACTGCAAGTTTTGAAAATAAATTAAAAATATGTA